TTATAAAACATTTAAAATGTATAAATTAAGTCGTTAATGTCGTATTATATCTAATAAGATCGTTATTAATTAATTAAATATTTTTTAATGTGTCATAAAAATTCTAGTTTAAATATAGGCAACTAATTTTACGTAAATAATTTATTGAAAATTTGCCCCACGTTTGGAATCCAAATGTATTAAAAAACTGTTATTTGTTCAAAAAAAATTATTTTTAATTAAGTTTTTGAGTTATCTTATCTCAGGGTCCTTTATAAAAACTAATAATTTAGCGAGTTCAGGCTCAAAAAGGAAAGTTTATTTTACAGATTTCTATTTTTAAATTCGTTAACTGAGAGAGAGCGTAACGCCAATAAAGATAGATGTCAAATTGAACAAAAAAAAAATAATTTTTACGTTAAGAAACTACTAAAGATCTTCTAAAAATAATAATCGATAGATTTTCAGTTAAAATGAAAGTAACTTCTCATGATTTTATTACAAAAATAATATGATAATTAGTGTTAATCAAAGTAAAATTATAGCATTTTCAACTCGAATTGTAGGTTACTGTAAATTTCTCTATTAGTCACATCTATTCGCCCCTAGATGGCGCTAAGAAATTAGTTAACCTGTAATATTACATTTTCTTTTAATTATATCACTTTTATATACAAACGTTGTCTAAACTATTTTACCAAGTGATTTTTAAACAAATTTCAACATCTCGCAATTTTTTATGACATGGCTCACGACATTCTATTTGTATAATTGACATAAAAAGTAACAGTAAAATTTCCACTTATCTGATTAGGTTATGTTGTACCTCAATTGGATTGCATTGGTTCCTTTTAGGAATGGAAAATGGACAGGAATCTGGAAAGCTTCGATTCGAATAATTATTCTTCAATCGGACTTCTTTGGGTCCTTGGAAATGTTTTTAGGAACACAAGTAGAGAAAAACTTTTTGAATTAGAGAACCAATTTAAGGTTAGGAAACTATTTTTGATATTTATAGGTTAGATTTTTTTATCAAAATTCAACCATACTCTTGCTCTTACTAAATTAGACTGTCTTCGTTCAACTTTTTCCTCTTCTTATATACCCTTTTCCCCCTCCCCAAAGATTTTTCGTCCTTCTATTTTTAACCCTCGCTTCTGATTGGCTGACGGGTTTCGCGCCATTTCTTCCCTTAAAATAATTTCAAATCTTTCTAAATTCCGAAAACGCCATCTAACGGATTTCTATCGAACTACTCAAAATTCCAAAACTTATTTTATTCATATCTCCTTTAATTCTTCACTAATCTGGATGAAACTTCGTATTTGAAGCATACATTTTTCTATTTCAGCCGTCCATTGAAGGTTTTAAGATACTCCAACCACAAATGAAGTTTGTATTTTACAAATTTAAATCCAATTTTCAAAGTCAAAATCGTCCAAAAATCTTTCGGAAAGTAATAAATTCGATGTAGCCGACGCTGATTTTCCCGTTTTGGATGGTTTAGAAAGGATATTAATAGTTTTAAGAAAATTATGAGCAACTAAAAATTAACTGTCAAATGAATTGAGGTTATGTTTCTCTCTCAGGTAAAATAAATTGTCAAAACTTGTCTTGGAAGCTTTATTTATTTAAAAGCAATAATTCCATAACATCTCGGTGATACAACCGGATCAAATAAATGCGTTAAAAACGAATTTTCAACCCCATTTTCTTTTAAATAAAGTAATCGATCCAATAAAATCAAAGATTCAATAGCGGGGGCCATAAATGCTCTTAATAAAGTAAAAAAATACAATTCCTTCTCTCTATTCACAAATAAATTAAAAACCTCCTCGATATCTGCATCGTTTAAAAAGCTATGATCTAATTCTAATCGTTTAAATGACTCTTTAACGTAATCCCCAAACGAATTAAAATCACGTTTTGATCTGCCAACATTCCTATCGGTTAAATCGGGGAAAAATCGATCAAAAATCACTTCTAAAATAGCTCGGTAAAAAATTGTATTGCTTGGGGGTAATTTTTTTGATAAGATTCGATCGATTGATTGTGCAGATAACATTCTAGCTGGTCTTCCTAGTTTAAAATCGACGGATTTTAGATAATCACTCATCGGGAAACCGATTAATTTAGAATCGGACTCAAATTGTTCTTCTAGAAAATGATAGCAACAACTTACATTACAAATTGTTTTAACATTTAAATTTTTAACAAATATGTTTAAAGAAGAAACAGCTAAATGCCCACAAGTATGCAAACCGATTAATGAAATTCCTTCGGGTTTAGCATCAAAAACAGTTTCGATTAATTCATTTAAATTTGTATTTTCATCCACAAATTGAGTAATTTGTTTATAAAGGTCTGAATTTTCATTCGTTTTACGTTCCCTTGGTGTTAAAACAGTTCGTTTTTGATTTTTTACGATTCCATCCCAATTTTTACTTAATTTTTCAGCTCGTTTTTTGGCCCCGTTTGTGTTTGTCTCCGACGAATCAATTCCTAAAATTGGAGTTTTGTAATGAAACGCTAATAATGAGCTTAAATAACCTTTTCCATCACCTAAATCGATGATATGGGAAGTATTTCCGATTAATTTTAATTTAAAAGCGACTGAACTCAAAATTGTGACTTCATGTGATTTTTTATTTTTCATAAATACATCGAGTTTTAAATCGTTTTGAGGTGTTTTATCAAATTTATTATGAAAATCGTTTATGTTGATACAAATATTGCCGTTGTATAAAAGGAATTGTTTGCAATTTTGGGTGAATTTAAATAAATTTGGGGCTAAATCATGGTTTGTTATGGCATCGTAAAAATCGAATTCGTTTTGATTAAATTCTAATTTTAATTCGTTTGGGGTGCAATTTTCATAAAGGTTTTTATTGAAATAATTAACCATATGACAACTAATTAGAGGATAATATTCTTTTAAATAAACTAAAATCTTATCAATTTGAAGTTTAATTTCTTGCATTTTTTAAAATGATAAATTATCTAATTCGGGATAAAACGCGTCCACTTTTAATAAAGCACACGTCTTTTTAAACAAACTTCTAATATTATCTAATTCACTCAGAATATCAACGTCTTTGTTATTACAGTTTNTAAGTAATAACCAAGCTCTGCACCAACCTCAGCGCCTCGATGGTATCCTAAATGATAACCTTCAACATTCTCTTCGTTTTTACCTTTTTCTAATCCTTCCGAATAACCCTCTTCAATCAATTTGTCTTCACTAAACACTATATTATCGAATACTTCGTTTATATCAGCATCATTTTCATTTATATCTAGTTATTAAAGTTAAAAATTAGAATTAATTACATTTTTATGAATAAACTAACCTGTCATTTTAATTTATAGGTTATGTAACGTCTGAAATAGGGGTTGCCTATCTTAAAATATTTAAATAACATTTTGTTATAAGAATAACATAGTTTATAAACAAAGTATATTTATGCCTCTTAAGACGTACATGTTACTATTTACATTTATAAATCATATCGCAACTAATATTTGCTTTTTATAACGATTAAAAATTAATTAATAAAGAGTTAACATTCCCTTTGTTTCTACCTTTTTCTAATCCTTCCAAATAACCCTCATCAATCAATTTGTCTTCACTAAACACTATGTCATCGAAAACTTCGTTTATATCAGCATCATTTATATTTAGTTATTAAAGTTAAAATTAGAATTACATTTTAATAAATAAACTAACCTGTCATATTAATTTATAGGTTATGTAGCGTCTGAAATTGGGGTTGCCTATCTTAATATGTTTAAATAACATTTTGTTGTAAAATAAGAATAAATTTCTATAAACAAAGTATATTTATGCTTCTTAAACAGTACAAGTTACTATTTACATTTATGAATCGTATCGTAACTAATATTTGCTTTTTATAAGAATGAAAATTAATTAATAAAGAGTTAACATTCTCTTCTTTTCTACCTTTTTCTAATCCTTCCGAATAACCCTCTACAATCAATTTGTCTTCACCAAACACTATGTTATCGAATACTTCGTTTAAATCAGCATAATTTTCATTTATATTTAGTTTTTAAAGTTAAAGCTGTCATTTTAATTTATAGGTTATATAACGTCTGAAATTTGGGTTGCCTATCTTAAAATGTTTAAATAACATTTTGTTGTAAAAAAAGAATAAATTTCTATAAACAAAGTATATTTATGCCTCTTAAAAAGTACAAGTTACTATTTACATTTATAAATCGTATCGTAACTAATATTTGCTTTTTATTACAATCAAAATTAATTAATAAAGAGTTAAGTAATAAATAACACAATGTTAATAATAAGAAATATCCTAAAATCATATATACAACAATATAAAACTCTTTA